GTTTGAAAGAGTCAGAGCAACTCCTAAAAGTGCCAAAGTTATTCTCAGGGATGATAACCTGAGAACATCTGACTTCAGTTTTATTGATTTTGGAAAGGTGACTAAGAAACCTGAGGTATGGGAGAAAGGAGAGGATAGGCTGTCTTCATTTCTTTCAGACCAGGAAATAACAGCCTTTTAATAAAAATACATAAGTTGTTCATGGTATATTCATATAAACTATTTCATATTCATATACAGCTTCATTTACTTATCAGTTTTGTGTTTAAATACAATATAATGTCAACAAAATAACTTTGTCATCATTTCCATATCCAAAGTGAGATCTCAAACAACTGTCTCGTGCATTATTTCCGTAATGTCACTCACACTTGAGTATCGATACTCAAGTACACATAATCACTGCAGCACACATAATTGAAAACAAGTTATCCAGAAACCTTATTTATTAGTTTCAACCTCCTTGTTTACTTTTACTCAAGCTATCAATAAAAAGCCACACCCTGGCTGGTTTGCTCAGCGGTTAGAGCCTCGGCCTGCGGTCCGAAGTGACCCATGTACAGTTCCCGCTAAGGGCAAGTACCTCGGTTGCAGTTTGTCCCTGGCCCTGGTTGGTTGTGTGGGTGGCAGCCACTCGATGTGTCCCTTTCATGTCAATGTTTCTCTCTCTCTCTCTCTTACTCTCTCTCCCTCTATCTGAACAAAAAAATGGAAAAAAATGTCCTCGGTGAGGATTTTAAAAAAACCCACACATTTTAGTGTCATCTCTTTTCTCTGCCTGCCCCTCTAGTGGAGAAATACTTAGGAGCAATAAAATGACCAAAAGGTGGCAGCAGGAGGGAGGAGGACCAGAAGCAAGAGGAGAAACAAAGAGCCCTCCCTTCAGACAATAGATAGTCAGTCTCTGGATAATCCAGAGTGGGCTGAACTTCCATCAAAAATGTACACACATTGCCCTGGCCGGTTTGGTTTAGTGGTTAGAGTGTTCGCCAGTGGACCAAAAAGTGACTGGTTGAATTCCGGTCAAGGACATGTCCCTTGGATATGGTTCGGTCCCTGGCCCTGGTCAGGGTCCTGTGGGAGGCAACCAACTGATGTGTCTCTCTCACATCAATGTTTCTCTCTCTCTCTCTCTCTCTCTTTTCCCTACCCCCTGCCCTCCCTCCCTCACACTCTATCTGAAGATAAATGGAAAAATATCCTTGGGTGAGGATTTAAACACACAAACACCTCTTTCTCTAGCCCTTCGTCCCACAACCAAATAACAATCTCAAAGCAGTTGCCAAGGAAGATGTGAATTGGCATTGCTTAAAGCATCATTCTGATCGCCATGGATAACTGTGTTTTAGAATAGGTTTATGAAACTTGGTTTTTGAGGTTCCATAATAGTTTAACATCAGTCAGAAGCACTATAAATGTTTAACTTTATATAATACTTTCTAAGTATTTTATTGATTATTAATTTTTTTTTGGATTTAAAAAGTTTACAACTAGACTAACAACTATATTATTTAAAAAAAAAAAAAAGACAAGAGACTCTCCTTATCTTTATCTTTTGACCAGAAGAAAACAGTTCTTGGGCCACACTGGTGTGGGAAGCCACCAGGAGAAGCATATACCAATGCAGAAAAGCAAATTGGTGTATCACCAGACTAGCTTGTGCTTGTGACTTTTCCATGTGGCCCATAACAAATGGGGCAGTTGTCTTATAGACTTCTTCCTGGAGTTATTGTGTGGTAATCATCAAATTTTATAAAAAGTATGCTAAATGTTAGGAAGAATATATGTATAGTTTAGGAAAACCCTCCTCTTGGATCTTTTAATGGAAGTATTTCCTATGAAAGTTTATGTCTAAGCAATAAATAGCAAGTAATTTGGCAAGTAATTGCAAGTAAAAGTTAAAACTTTCTTGTCATTGATCTTCAGCCTCTGGGTTCTCTGGTATCATCTCTCTGGTGATTAAAACTCTTCCCATTCGTTATTATCCTCTCCCGATTGTTTTCATCATAGCAAACATTGGTTTCTTAACTGTATATTTTGTTTTCAGCCTTGTCTCAGCCTCCTCTTTTCTACCCTTAACTTGTTACTCATAGCCTTTGCTCCCAGGCACATTTTCCCTGCTTTGTGATTCCTTTCTTGCCCATTGACCTGTGCACAGCCTTCAGGAAGCCCTCTAAGCCCCAGATACCCTCCCAGTGTTCACCTGACGCTCTCCCCTCCTTCACATCTTCTTGGGCTATTGTCTGAGTGAAAATAATCCTAATCCACTGTAGATTCCCAGTAATTCTAATTAGGTCTTTTATAATGAGGTTTACTCTCCCATTATATTTCGTCTTTCTACACATCTACATTTACACTGTGTCAGCTACTTTAAAAATGGGAGCCTCACTGGTGGAAAACATTATGGAATTTTGGGTTATTTGTGGTGTGCAGAACCCATTAATGTATGTATTGACATCGAGTCAAGAGTAATATTAACAACAATGTTAATAAGGCCACAGTAAAAAATACTGAGGCCAAACACATCCATCTTCTTCCTTTATGATTCTCCATGAAGAAACACAGGTGGAAACTTGGGGTATTCTTCAGAGGAAAGGCTGAACTTGGCTCCTGGTATATTTAGCACTAGTGATTCTAAATGAGAGTGTATTAAACTAAGGAATTTTAATTTTTTTCTTTCAAAAGAGAGCAAGTTTTCAAGTAGCAGAATTTAACCTGCATACAGAAATGCTTGTATACATTATAGTATATCAGTTTATGTAATTTAAGGCTGTAAACGTGAGAGTTGTTTTTCCTTAAAAAAAAACAACTTTTTTTTAGCCCTGGCCAGTTTGGCTCAGCGGTAGAGCATCAGCCCACGGACCAGAGTCGTGGGTTTGATTCCGGCCAAGGGCACATACTTCCGTTGCAGTTCGTCCCCGGCCCTGATAGAGGGGTCCTGCAGGAGGCAACCAGTCAGTGTGTCTCTTTCACGTCGATGTTTTTCTCTCTCTCTCTCTCCCTATCTTTCCCTCTCTCTCCCTCCAACTCTATCTGAAGATAAATAGAAAAATATCCTCCAGTGAGGATTAAAAAAAAAACTTAAAATTTTTTTTCTTTATTGATTTTAGAGAGAGAGGGAGAGAAAGATAGAAACATCAATGAGAGAAAAATATTGATTGGCCGCCTCCTGCATGCCCCTGCCCCCCACTGGAGATTTGACCCATAACCTGGGCATGTACCCTGACTGGGAATCAAACCGGTGACCTCTTGGTGCATGGGTCCACACTCAACCACTGAGCCACACAGGCTGGGCTAAAAATACTTTTCTTGATTTTATTTTTTTGGAGATAGAGCAAGGAAGAGGAAGAGAGAGAGAGAGGGAGAAACATAGGTCAGCTGCCTCCTGTATACCCCCTCCTGGGGATCAAGCCCACACCCAGGCAGGCATGTGCCCTGACCAGGAATTGAACCGGCAACTGCACAGGATGATGCACAACCAACTGACCCACAATGGCCAGGGCGTTTTTTTGTTGTTTTTCAATGAATACAGCAGGTCATCAAATAATGTCATTTTGTTCAACATTGTTTCATTATAACATTGATGAGAAGCCATAGGAACTCTTGTTTATGTCAATTAGACTATGTTAAAATTGGTTTTGTTATATGTAGTTTAAAGTTGCAGAACCTATCCAAGGACATTAAGTGAGGACTTACTGTATATTCTATTTTTTTTTTTAACATTTTTTTCTTTATTGATTTTAGAGAGAGAGGAAGGGAGAGGGAGAGAGAGACAGAAACATTGATGAGAGAGAACATCCATTGGCTGCCTCCTGCATGTCCCCCACTGGGGATCGGGCCCACGACCTGGACATGTGCCCTGCCTGGGAATCGAACTGGCAACCTCTTGGGTCGACGCTTAACCACTGAGCCACACCGGCCAGGCCACTGGATGTTCTTTTAAAGGACTGTTTCCATTTTACCAGTAGTTTAATAACAGTTCTGAATTCTTTAAAGGAAGTTAGAAAATTTGATAATTTTTAAGATTAGCAACTAGGAAAACATTTAATATATCATTCAACTTTTTTAAAGGACTACAAAATTATATCTAATTTTCTTTTTAAATTTTCATATGAAGAAGAATTAGATGAGAAGTTTTATAAGAAACTAAAATAATATTTTGGGGTTCTGTAAATATAGGTGATTTTCTTTTTTTGGTCTTCCCTTATTTCCTTTATTGTTATAGGATGTTATTTATGCAATAAATAAAATTGGGTGATGGAAGACAAAGCTTGAAATTTGTAATATGATGAAACTTGACTCCTCTTACTCTGGCAAAGGCTATGTATGCTTTTGCTCTTTGCTTACAACCTCCTAGCAGCCTGTGAAGGTAGGAATGGGGTGGAGATCACTGGGTCTCCTGCCTCAGTGCATGAAATCAGTGTATAGTTAATACTGCAAATGATACTTTCAGAGTGATGATGTTCGAAGACTAGGATTTGTAGATGTCTCGAAACCCCATCCCTCTCAGACAGTTGGGGCTGCAGTATTAGCAGAGTACCCAAGAGCCCTGGGTTTACTGTCAGGTATGCTTGAATTGGAATCCCAGTTTTGTCAGGTACCTGATGTAACTTGAGCAAGTTACAACTTCTTTGGGCTTGTGTTTATTTATGGGAAAGCAATGCAATCTATCTCATAGAGTTGTAATGAGGATTAATTAATGTGTTGAATCTAGCAAGACTATTTAGTGAATACCCAGTAAATGTAGCTCTTTTCATCCTGCTTGGCTCTACTGACTTTACTTTGGAGCTTTGCTGAAGGTATTTGGGGGGCATCCCCCATTTAATTAATTTATTAATTAATTTGTTTATTTTACATCCATAGATGAGGTAATAGTTACCAGTTCAATTTCCATTTGCTGTGCTAATGTGAAATTGGCAGACAGGATCATCTGCTCCTCCCATAAAGGTGCCCTTTTGTAAATCTGCTAATTGAAATAATCTTCTTCTTTTACTTTACAGATATATGTAATTGACAGTGCAGACAGAAAAAGATTTGAAGAGACGGGTCAGGTAAATAATTCTTCTGTTGAGCTATTTCCCAAATAACTGGGTATTCATTAATCTGCCTTGTAAATATATGAGAGTGAGAGAGGTATTTTTTTTTGTTTGTTTAACCTTTGCAGTTTAAACAAGACAATCATTCTGGCAAGCAGGCAAAGATACCAGTTGCCTAAAAAGAAATTAGTCCAAAAATTTTTAAACAATTTATTTGATTAAAGCCTTTTAGGCCTTTAAAAGCCTTTAAAGACTTATTTTTTGAAGTCATAATAAATATTAGCCTGCAAGAGCAGTGCTAAACAATCACAGTTGTAAACTATGCTAAGTAAGAAGACTTTACTGTGAAGCTTTACATGTCCCAAAATTATCTATGTTTCCAGTTTTTGAAGTGGTATATTAAGGAGTGTAATTCTTTTTTTTTTTTTTTTTATCCTCACCCGAGGACATTTTTCCATTTTTTGTTCAGATAGAGTGGGAGGGAGAGAGAGGACGAGAGAGAAACATCGATGTGAAAGGGACACATCGAGTGGCTGCCACCCGCACGACCAACCAGGGCCAGGGCCAGGGACAAACTGCAACCGAGGTACATGCCCTTAGTGGGAACTGAACCCGGGTCTCTCTGGACCACAGGCCGACGCTCTTACCGCTGAGCCAAACCGGCCAGGTCAGGAGTGTAATTCTTAAAATATGGTTTTGGGGGTTTTTTAATTGATTTTTTAGAGAGAGAGAGAGAGAGCCCTGGCCAGTTTGGCTCAGTGGTAGAGCGTCGGCCTGCGGTCCAGAGAGACCCGGGTTCGGTTCCCGCTAAGGGCATGTACCTTGGTTGCAGTTTGTCCCTGGCCCTGGTTGGGTTGCGCGGGTGGCAGCCACTCGATGTGTCCCTTTCACATCGATGTTTCTCTCTCTCTCTCCCCACTCTATCTGAACAAAAAATGGAAAAATGTCCTCGGGTGAGGATGAAAAAAAAGAGAGAGAGAGAGAGAGAAACATTGATTGGCTGCCTCCTGCACACCCCCTACTGGAGATCAAGCTCGAAACCTGGGCATGTGCACTGACCAGAAATTGAACTGGGACCTCTCAGTCCATGGGATGACGCTCAATCCACTAAGCCACACTGGCCAGGCAGGAGTGTGATTCTTTTTTGGTACGTGCCCCTAGCGGGAACTGAACCCAAAACTCTCTGGTCCACAGGCCAATGCTCCAACCACTGAGCCAAACCGGCCAGGGCAGGAGTGTGATTCTTAATTTGTCTTTCTATCTGTCACTAGGGTGTTCATGCTGGATAAGTTTTTGTTTTGTTTTGATGTCTTAGACCATCCTATATTTTACTCATCCCATAATACGGTTTTTTTTGTTGTTGTTTTTTGTTTTTTTTTTATCCTCACCTGAGAACATTTTCCCATTTTTTTGTTCAGGTAGAGTGGGAGGGAGAGAGAGAAACATTGATGTGAAAGGAACACATCGAGTGGCTGCCACCCGCACGACCGACTAGGGCCAGGGACACACTGCAACCGAGGTACGAGCCCTTAGCGGGAACCGAACCCGGGTCTCTCAGGACCACAGGCCGACGCTCTAACCGCTGAGCCAAACCGGCCAGGGCCATAATACGGTTTTATGCAGAAAGATTAAAACTATGTAAATGGTTTTTCTGGAAATTATTGGTTATAATTATACATATATATATATTTTTTTATCCTCACTTGAGGACATTTTTGCATTTATCTTCAGATAGAGTGGGAGGGATAGATGAAGGAAGCGAGAGAGAAACATCAATGTGAGAGAGACACATTGACTGGTTGCCACCTACACGACCCCAGCCGGGGCCGGGAACAAACTGCAACCGAGGTACATGCCCTTAGCAGGAACTGAAACCGTGACTCTCTGGTCCACAGGCCAATGCTCTAACTGCTGAGCCAAAATGGCCAGGATTGGTTATAATATTTTATAGGGGATGGAATGGCACCTTTGTTTATAGGACAACGTCTTTAAATAAAGTAACATTTCCAAGTCAAAAACCAAGGGGGGTGTTTAAGTTTTAATCAAACTGAATAAACAAGTTATAAGCAAACGGAACTTACCACCATGCCCAAAAGCTCTCCAGGTTTCTTCCCAATCCACGTAGAAATGAACCCAGAGGAACAATTCACTATTATTTTTATGTATGTTTTTCAATATCAACTTAATTGATCCAAAGTTAACTTTAACAAATTCAAAGAGATAGGAAGAAATGTGCAAGCCAAGACTAAGCTACTCTTGTTTCTAAGCCAAGAGATAGGTAGGTATACTTTGAACCCAAATATGGCTTCAAATGCAGAGTACATGTCAACAGATTACACAGCGCAATTTGTGTACATAGTTTTAAATAGTGAAGCAGTGGGCATAGACCATTTTACCGAGTACGCTGATAAGAAACAAGGAGTAGAGTGGACCTCTTTGGAGAAGCATGATTACATTTTATTGCAGAGTCCTTGGCTTGTGTCCTAAATGATCATAGCCTTCCAAAGGCAGCAGTCCCTAGGTTTATGTTCCTTTTTCCTGGAAATTAGTTTGAGAACTCGTTTCCAGACTCTTGAAGATAACCCTATAATACCTTGGTGATTTCTGGATCATTACTCGTGTGATCTAATGCTAAAGATGAGTTTGAGGGTGAAGGGTATCATATAACCATCTTCTTCTTGAACCATCTAGTTCTCTTTGACAGCCCAAGTGTCTTAAGTAGAGTTAAAATGGGGGTTTAATGGGGAGAGGTGGGCCCTCGTATTTAGGTAAGTATACATCCTCTCCTATGCTTATTGCAAACAGAATCAACATATTATTTAGACCCCAACCAATAGCCTAAGAATCAGAGACCTTGCCAGATGTACTAATACAGTTATTTTAGGATGTGGGTTTGATGAAGTGTAGTGCATGTACATGTTTTGGAGACAAAGATTGATGAAACAGAATTATAGTCTTTTTTTTAATCCTCACCCGAGGACACTTTTCCATATTTTGTTCAGATAGAGTGGGAGGGAGAAAAAGAGAGAGAGAAACATCAATGTGAAAGGGACACATCGAGTGGCTGCCAGCTACACAACACTTCAGGGCCGGGGACAAACTGCAACCGAGGTACGCGCCCTTAGCGGGAACCGAACCCGGGTCTCTCTGGACCACAGGCCGATGCTCTAACCGCTGAGCAAAACCTGCCAGGGCCAGAATTATAGTCTTTAAAGCAATTGTCATTTTCAGTTTATATTTTAAAATATGTGTGTGTGTGTGTGTGTGGATATATATATATATATATATATAATTATTTACAGATAACAGTGGCTAAATTTAAAATTTCTAACCACCATTTGTGTTCTCCTTTGAACACAAAGTATGTGTTTCACAAAGTATGATTTATGGATCCCTACAGCAGAACTACTATAGGGGAGCTAGTTAAAAATAAATTCCACCTGGAGAGTGTGGCTCAGTGGTTGAGCGTCGACCTGTGCACCGAGAGGTCATCTTCGATTCCCACTCAGGGCACATGCCCAGGTTGTGGGCCAAATCCCCAGTGGAGGGCATGCAAGAAGCGGCTAGTCAATGTTCTCTCTCATCGATGTTTCTATCTCTCCATACTTCTCTCTTCCTCTCTCTCTAAAATCAATAAAGAAAAAAAAAATTTTTAATGCAAATTTCTGGGCCCTCACTTAGACTTTCCAAAGTCAGCATCTTTGGAGTAGGCCCAGCAATCTGCCAGGGTGTTCCACAGGCTCAGGTTTGAGAACCACTGCCCTTGAAAGTTCCCAGTTGATCAGCTTAACTGTTTTGTTTTTTTCTAACTAGAAGTGAATGGTTAAATATCATAGCTTTCATTTTTCTTTCCCCATCCATTCTCAAAATGATCCAGGAACTAGCTGAATTACTGGAGGAAGAAAAGCTAAGTTGTGTTCCAGTGCTCATCTTTGCTAACAAGCAGGATTTGCTCACGGCAGCCCCTGCCTCTGAAATTGCAGAAGGACTGAACCTGCACACCATCCGTGACCGAGTCTGGCAGATCCAGTCTTGCTCAGCTCTCACAGGAGAGGGCGTTCAGGTGAGATTACCAGACGACTTGGTCACCTGGCAACATGAGAGCCAGCCTCAGTAGTCTGTTTCATTGGTTGAACTGATCTAGATAGGCAAGATATGAAACAAATAGCCTTTGATTGGCAGATGAACAACCCAGAATGTGAAGGGCATGGAGAGTTTAGTTCTTTTCTAGTTATCAACCAATGTGATATCATTAACTGTTCTAGGAAAGACAAACTACCCCATTAGATAGGAGGTCAGAACAGAAGACTTTCTAACTCTAGGATTCTTTGATGTATGGGTTGGGGGCTTTGTGTTGTGTCTCATATTGTGGACGCTAAATACTGTACTCCCAAGGTAACAGCCATCGACAGTTATGCACACTAGTTATCCTATAGAAGTGTTTTGTTTTTTTCTGTTGGCTGTCTCCGCTGCCTTCAGAGTTGGTGTCTGTTTCCTGCTACTTCGGTTTGGTTTCCCACTGGGAGGCTTCTGCTCACAGGGCCCCATGTTGTATACTGAAGAACTAACTATATACCAGAAGAGTAGGCTCCCCCTCATTTGATATTAATTTAGGGCAAGACAACCAAGAGGTTGTATCCTCAAAGAATGATAAACAGGTTCAGCTCTGATGCTTCCTACCAAGCAGACGCAAACCAGGTCACACTTGGAGTCAGCGCTCTAGGACTTCTTTACTCCAGAGCCCCAGCTTGCTCACATGCCTCATTTGGAACATCTGGAGGACCTGCCAGGGAAGTGGACCAGGCTGTGAGAATCAGATAGTGCTGCTCTGGGATGCTGTGGGGGGTCAACAGCATCTAAGGAAATGGTGTCTTCCCTCGTTGCCATATGGCATGTGTCTCTAATGGCATGACCGATTTGCTTTTCTCTGAACTTGGAGTGTTGGGGTACGAGCCTGTGATTTGATTCTCAACTGTTACCCTGCAGCCTCTTTCCATTTCCTTTCTAATACTCTCCTTCCCTCTCTCCAAAGGCATTTGACATTGATTTGTCTTAAAACTGCCTGACTACTTTTATTTCAAGAAAATAGTCACCTCCTAGAATTATCCCACTTGTTCCATCTGTTTGCTGCTTGGTTTTTTCTTTTTGTTAAACAAACAACCAGGGCCTGTTTCTGTGCTTGGCCTTTCGATCTGAGAGCAGAGCAGTCAGCACAAGACAAGCACTCCTCCTCTACAGTCCTCAGTACCTGCACCCTCCAAAGCTCTTTGTGCATGTATGTGTGTGGTGGACCCGAAAATAGCCAGAGATGACCTCAGCTACACCTCCAAAATAGATGCTGGACCTCTGTGGGTCTCTCTGTGAGGTTTCAGTTTAGGGAAGGGGCAGGTGGTAAGTCTTATTTATTCCCTTCTTCCTTAGAGTCTGGTTTATAAAAGTAATATATTCTCATTGTTAATCATATGAAAGTATATATAATTTAAAACTGTAAAGTTCTTTCCTCTCCCTTAATCGCACTTGACAAAAGACCTGTCATTAATAGTTTTATTCTTCTTAAGTCTCCTCTATAAAACTATAATCACATATGTGATTATAGGTCTATTAGGTTTCAAATTAACTGCATTTTTCAGCTTAAGTTAGGCTGGTCTAACAAGTATACTACAACCCAGAATGTTTTTGAATGGGTAAATGCTAATAATTTTTTTCCAAAAATTTGTTTTCTTTATTGATTTTAGAGAGAGAGGGAGAGAGAGAAACATTGATGAGAGAGAACATTGACTGGCCACCTCCTTCATGCCCCCCACTGGGGATTTGGCCCACAAACTGGACATGTGTCCTGACCAGGAATAAAACTGGTGACCTCTTGGTGCATGGGTCAGTGCCCAACCACTAAACCACACTGGCTAGGTGGTAAATGCTAATCATTTTATTTAGCTTCTCCCTTTTTTAAAAAAAAATCAAGTTTTACCTAAGGTTTTTCCCTAGATTGTACATAAGATGGCCTTCATGATGCTTAAGGTGATTTGGGTGTGAATGAAGCCTTCTTGTGTTTGTACAAACCACTTCAGCAGGAGAACTCAGCCTGTCTAAATGGTTGAGAACACAAACATGGAGAGGAGAGAATATCTCGAGGTTTGGGCTGTAAAGGCGGGACTAAAAAAAATAAACATATTTTGTGTGCCTGCTTCTAAGAAAGTGGGAGTTGGCAGTTCCATAATCTTTTTTTCACTTGGTCAGAGTGTTGAAAGGAAGAAAAAGCAAAGCTGGAATTAACAGTGCAGTCCTTGTTTCTCCAGCTAGCCTTAAGCAGGGACCAGAGTTATCTAAAATCAGCATTTTGAGTAGTGGCATTCAAGTCAAGGACTTCTTCATAGGAACCTGGAGGTTCGGAGGGAGCTCTAGTCATTGTCTTGCCAGCCCTCAGCCCTCCCCCACCACCTGTCAGGGGGAGTTACAGGGACAGAGCTCTATGTTCCTGGCTGTGTAACCACCATAGAAGTGGAGTTCCCTTAAAATCACAGGATCTTTAGACCAAAAAAGAAGCAGTGAGCTATCAGACAGTTACAGGATGGGGGAGGGCTTTAAAATCAATCAATTTAGCCCTGGCTGGTTTGGCTCAGTGGTTAGAGTGTCAGCCTGTGGACCAATGAGTCGCAGGTTCGATTCCGGTCAGGGGCATGTGCCTCGGCTGTGGTTCCTCCTGGCCCTGGTCGGGTCAAGCGGGAGGCAGCCAGTCGATGTGGCTCTATCACATGATGTTTCTCTCTGTCTCTCCCTCCTTCCCACTCTATCTAATGGTAAATAGGAAAATATCCTCAGGTGAGGAATAAAAATAAATAAATAAAATCCGTTTAAATCAAGTGAGACAACCATGTATGGTTTGATTTTGTTAAAGTTCTTAGATCAGGGACCTTCAGCAACCATATTCACAGGAAATTATATCAAAGGCATCTAACAAAAAACTGTGAGCAAAAAAAAAAGATTTTATATGGAGGAGAAATAGTTTGAAGGTCACTTAATTAGTTTAGTAGCTACCATGGTGTATAGAATTGGGTAGTTAAGACTGGGATTTCAAGGTTAATGAGATTAGATTATGGTTAATAGAATGATATAAATTTAGAGAATTTAACCATTATTTGAAATGAGTTATTTAATAAAAATGTTAATTAAGAAGGGAATCTGCTATCTATTGTCCTTTAGTGGTAACCTTTGGGGACTGCAGAAAGGTCGTGGAGTTTTCTGTGGAAGCATTTCGTTGTGAGGCACCAGCTGACCATGTCCCTCCCTCAGGTGGTGCCTGTGGCCTAAGCTCTTGCCCACTCAGCCAGTATCTTGGTTTTTACTTTAAAAAGAGTCACTTAGGAAGAATTGTTTTCCTGCATTGCCTAGTTCAAGTGCAGGCCTTTAATGAATGATTCTTACTAATTAAGGTTTTAAGTATTCCTAGAAATGAAAGACTTCACTAGGAAAATGTCCATAAGATCACTTTCAGACATGGATACTGTGTAATAATTACTAAAACTCCCTAAATTCTTATTTCATCTTCCCTCTCCACCCTCCCCTCCTGCTGAGCTGGTCAATAATGGGCAAAGCTACTAAAATAATCAGACATCAAATGGGTCAAATAACATTTGGCACCATAGCTCTAATGACCCTGAAAGAAAAAATGTACAAAGGTAAAAAAAAAAAAAGACCTGGATTTTCTGTTACAGTTTCAGGTGTTTAAAGACTGTCTCTATTTATATTGTGTTTGTGTGTATGTGTTTGATCAGAATGTTTGAGAGACCCGTCTTGTACTGATAAATAACACCTTCAAGTCAGTGAGCCAGGGGAATAGCCACAGATCCACTAGATGGTGAGGTACACCTTCTGGACTCATCAGACAGGTGTATCACTTCTTAGCTGAGTAACTTAAACACATGATTTAAGGTTATGGAAGTTAGTGATTCCTGGGATGGATTTTAGATTCTTGTTCTATCTGATGTTCTGAAGACAAATATGTGCAGTCTTTACAAGGACAGGCAATCCCATATGTTCAACAGCCCCTGTTCTGGGTGTGGAAATTGACTTTTGAGGGCTTCAAGAGAGTACAGAACAGGTCTTTCTTTGCCTGATTGATGGTGACCAGGAGACCAGCCCATCATGTAATTAAAGCAGGTTTTCATGGGAAACTGTCAAGAGCAGCATAGGTAAAGGGCACTAGAAGCTGAAGGAGAACATCAATCTTGGAAGCCCTGGCCTGCTGAGAGGCCCAGAGTCCACAGGAGTGATCAGAAGAGACCCAGTTATGTCAAGTAGATAAAGGCAGAAAGAGGAGAAACTGGAAAATGTCTGGGAGGGAAAACCTGCAGCCCCTTAGCGACTGCTTTAGAGACATGGTGGTTGTCTCCCTCTGCACCCTCAGGGCTGGGCCAGGGTTGCTAGGGCCTCTCCTAGTGTGTAACATCTAGCCCTGGGACTCTCTTCTCCTCTTTCCTGAGTGTCTAGAAAACAGTGAACAAAGGATCTGACTTAGATGCAGAGAAAGGTAGAGAGAAATCAACCTCTCTTCTCCCTACAGACCTGAATTTGAACCCCAGGCCACAGCTGTCCTTTGCTGTTGTAGTGTCAGGTATTTGAAGACATTTTCTCTCTAAAATATCGTATGTGTGCGCGCACGTGTGTGTTTAATTAAAATTGTACTGGAATAGAATTTCCTTTCAGTGCAGAGATCAGCAGTTCCAACCTGGTCTCTAGCCTTAGTCATAACAGAGACCTCCTTACACCAGTAGCTTTGAACTAACAGAAAGTTCTTTTGGGTATTTCTCTTCATTCACCCACGTCACACGCACCTTTTCTTTTCACATCTCTCCTATATTCCTTGTCTTCCTTTTCTGAATAGGAGCAGTGGTCCGGCTCATAGTAGTCTCACCTACCTAGAAAGGACCACTAGCAGTTGGAGCGTGGTGTGTGAGCTGTATGTCAGAATGTACCTTGCAGATGAACACTAAACATTTGCTAGCCCAGCTTCTTGTTTTTGTTTCTTTTTCCTTTGTCTAGGGGACTTTTTCCCTTAATATACCAACAGAATTTTGGTATTTTTAAATATGACATTTACCACTTCTTTCTAGGGCTGGCATCAGTTATTTTTGACTCCAAATGTACATGGAACTGCTTATCTGCAAGTCAGACCTCAGATTTATTTTTAAATTTTCAAACCCCTCTATAGACTAAGGAAGCAAGCTCAGGACATGTGATTTTGGTACTTCTCTGTTGCAGTACCCTTTGTCACTAGAAAAATGTTAATAGCAATAGTTACGTGTGCTGCATCCAGCTGCTCCTTGGCCCCGAGGCCGGTGGCACAATGGGATAGCCCGCATCACTAAGCCAGGGCCTGAGTTCCTCCTCGTCTTAAAGCAGTTACTGTTGTGACATGTAGTCCTCATGGCATTAAAAACCAGACGCTAGACCTGGCCAATTTGGTTCAGCGGTTGGAGCATTGACCCGAGGACCAAAGAGTTGCAGGTTCAATTCTGGTCAAGGGCACGTACCTCGGTTGCGGTTTGTTTCTGGCCCTAATCAGGATCGTGCGGGAGGCAGTCAATCGATGTGTCTCTCACATTTATATGTGTGTGTGTGTGTATGTGTCTCTCTCTCCCTCCCTCTCCCCATCTCTCCCTCTCCCTCTCCCTCTCTCCCCCTTCCACTTTATCTGAAGATAAATGGAAAAATGTCCTCTGGTGAGGATTTAAAAAAAACAGGCCCTAGGCTCACCCAACCATGGCTGCCACTGCTTCCTTCCAACCATGGAGCAGTGATGGATACACTGTAGAGTGATCAAATTAAAAAGAGCAGTGCAGCCCTGGCCAGTTTTCTCAGTGGTCAGAGCGTAGGCCTGAGGTCCAGAGAGACCCAGGTTTGGTTTTCGCTAAGGGCATGTACCTCGGTTGCAGTTTGTCCCCGGCCCGGTTGGGGTCATGTGGGCGGCAGCCAGTCAATGTCTCACATTGATGTTTCTCTCTCTCTTCCTCCCTCTTTCCTTCCCTCTCTACCTGAAGATAAATGCAAAAATGTCCTTGGGTGAGGATAAAAAAAAAAAGCAGTGCAGTCAGAGTCCATTCTTTCCATAGAAAGAGGCATCATGCCTTTAATCCTGGACCACTGAGATCTGTGATGAGTAGATTTCCACCTCTATGGTTAGGGGCAGCCTTATTTTTCCCAGCGGTCATATTAGGGGATATAATGACATAGCAACATTTATTTCCTCTCCACGAGGCCAAACAAAGCTCAGTATTTGAGGCTCAGTGTCTCTCTTTAGTCTCTATTATTGAACTAAAGCTAATCAAGTTAAATTCTGTTTCAGCAAGGTTGGTGGAGGGGGGTGTGTGGTGGAGGCAAAAAGGGGAGGACTACTCATGCCATAATATTGTCATCCCCATGACGAAGATCAAATGTGCAGAAATTTGGTCAAACCAGTTTTAACAATAAAGGTTCAACCATTAAACAAACCTATGAGTTCATTTCCTTCTTTGGAGGCGGAGCAGTAACCTACTTCAAGTAACTGATCATTTTTTTCTCAGTCATCTGTTTTAAAAAACAAAGCCTTGCCAAATTAAGGTAAGAGTGATGTGGAGCACTAATTCACACAGGAGAAGCAGACGGTTCCACCTCTTGCTATGATGTTATCTCTAAATGTAGAGTTTCCACTGGAGTTGGTGGTCTTGGTGGAGAATTAATATACTAGGACATGAGAAAGGTAAATATTGCAGCTTCCACGTGGAGACACCTGGCAGCCCTGGAATCTTGAGAGTTGGGTGGCTGAAAACAGCCTCTGGTACCTTCAGAGCTGCAGCCAAGCTATGCACGAACTTGGCCTAGGGCTACCCCAGTCTCATGCCCCTGTAGTCAGTTGGGAGTCCTAAGGAAGAAACAACTGAAATTGCTCTTTCCCAGCTTCTCTCTAAGCTGGAGGCCAAGCTCCTCCCTCCAGCACTTGCCCACATTCATTGAGAAATGGTAAATGGTTAGAGTATGGGTGCTGGAGCCTGGGTTCACAGCCTGCCTCTGCCACACACTGTTCTGTGCTCCTATTTCTTCATTCGTAATGTGGAAATTGTATTTGCTACTTCCCAGGGTTGTTACAAGGATTAATTAAAAATATATAAATTAAGTACTACAGGCCAGACACCCAGCTAGGTTCTGTAAACACAACCTCAAGCCAGTCTGACATGGACCCTCCCCTCAGGGATCTTGGACAACACTACTATCTTTCCTTTCCCGTGGGCAACTTGGCAGAACTTGTCCCTGGTTTGATTAGAGAGGTATTATCCCTGTTGACTGTTGTCTCCTCCACAGCACCTCACCTCCAGCTCCCGTTCTCCTCTTGGTAATAACAGGAAAGGTACAACTCTCCAACCCCCAAACACTTCAGATCAGGGCAGAGCAGCCACAGAGCTTGGCCCCTATTAAATCTACCTGTGCTTCCCACACTCCAGGTTGCTGGAGGCAGCTGCAGAGGCTCAGGGGCCAGCAGGACAGCAGGACAGCTGGTGGGTACTGACCTCCGAGCGCCCTCTGTTGGCAGGACTGTGGCTGGAAGGGCTTTGCCACTGCTGGCCCTCACAGACATCTGGAGGACAGGGCTCCTTAGCAGGGCTCCCCCCCTTCATTCATTCATTCATTCATTCATTCATTCATTCATTCATTTTGGTATGTGCCCCTAGCGGGAACCGAAGCCAGTACTCTCTGGTGAGCCAAACCGGCCAGGGCAGGGCTCCCCCGTTTAAATCCCCTCTGCCTCCATAACAGATACCAAGGAGAAAGCTGCCCCTCACCCTCCACATTCTGCTTTGGGTTCCTGCAGCTGAGTAAATAATTTTTTTCTATCTCTTTGACTGTATTCATGTTTAGTTAGTTACATATAATCAAAAGAACCCCCACCCCGTAATCAGCCATAAAACAAGGGGGAACCAGTATTCATATAGTGTGGAAACACTGTTCTTGATTTCTCTGAGAAGATGATTTGGTAAAATATCGCAAGTGTCTATAGAGGAAAATATATTGAGGTGTGCACCTTTGATAGTGTTTTTGCGGGGTCCTGAAGATGGAAAGTGCTACATAAGTGCTGAGCTATTAAGCTTCGAAGGCAAAGAGAAGATGGTTATCTTATTCATCCCTCTTTTATTTATAAAATCTTTTTTGTCTCCTGGCAGGTGATCATTTTTTTTCCTGGAAACCAATTAGCTACTAAAATTAAACATGCTTCTCTTTAAATGAATCCTTTTCATAAAATGGTCTTAAAATTGGCCTCAGCTTTTCAAGTCAGTAGCTGACCCAGTTGTAATTGGAGAGGTATGTGGAGGCCACCTTTCTCCACCTCCACGTCCCACCTCCTTGTCCCCGCGCTGCCAGGTGCTGTCCACCTTCGGGCTTTCAGCCAGGGCCAGCCTCATCTTGGCAAACGCCCTAAAGTCTGCTCTGGAACAGCCATCAGATTATCTAGTTCTCCTGCCCAAGTGTCCTGATGGCAACTGGTGGAGTTTTAATCACTGTAAATTCAGGTTATGGTCAGATTAGCCAGGAGATAGGATGCCTGCTGGTTGTTTTGCGGTGATGTATTGTTTATGGGATTAATGCTCCGAATGGCCAAAGGTGTCAGCTGATATTTATTACTTTAAGCTGGCTCAGCTGTTCAGGTTCAACCACTAGCTCTGTGGTCACAGGAAATGCAGGGCTCTTCATGTCATGTATGCCCTGAGATGTGCAAATGTGACTGGGACCTCAGCAAGCATGTGCTACAGATGCAGGTGGAAAGGGATTCGTTGCAGGATCCTTCTTTGATTTTGTTCTGGGCTTCCAGGGGAACTCTGCACACCCCTGAAGGTCAGAGACTCTAGGGAAAGGGAGAGTTTTCAGGGGTGGCTCCAGTGGGGGGTGAAAAGGAGGTCATCTTTGGCAGGCCTAGCATCCAGGAAAAATCATGCCACCTGCCAGGTGGCTGTAGGCATTGTGTGGTTTTTACCTCTGTCCCTCTCCAGCCTTCTAAGAGAGGACACTTTCAAGGTCACTGTGCCTTTAAGTGACCCTTCTTTCTAGTCCCACTACTTGGTAGTGCTTAAAATTACAAGAATCAGACCAGGCCCTTCCAAACCTCTGTAGTGCTGCACAAAGAGAAATAAATGCACATTGCCTTAGTGTGTGTCTAGTAACACACACTGCACTTGGTTTGTTTTTCCAAAAAGAAATTTAATTTAACCCAAGTGTACACTGCCACACTGTAAACACACCAGGGCACCAGAAGCGTGGCTTATTGAATTTAATGCCCTAGTAAAGGTCAGCTTTTAGAACAAGCCAAAAATGGCTGGAATCTTTCCTGATAGCTCCTCAATCAGGCCTTGGATCCAGGCAGATGTGTTTATTTTTTCAAAGGGAGTTCATGAGGACCCATCTCAAGTTCAGACACTGGGCACTCCCCCTCCCGTCTCTCTCCTGTCTCATGCTCTGAAGCCTCCCTCCTCCTCCCCAGGAGGTCACTATCCCTGGTCACCCAGGTGGGCCCCTGGGGCAAGGAAACTCCCTGGAGCTAGTGGTTGGGGAGGGTGGACCCTAGACCCCTACTGGGTGTATAATGACTTTCTTATAACTAACACTGCATTTCTCTGCCCATTTCCCTCAAAGGACGGCATGAACTGGGTCTGCAAAAATGTCATTGCAAAGAAGAAATAAAATCTAGACGAATGGAGATGCAGGAGCTTCGGGAGCTGAATTCTGTCCTGAAAAACACTAATTTGCTACTTTCTGACCAAATGTTTCTCCATCTGTGTACAGCTACAGCTGTTTGAAGAGAGGGAACAACACAGTTTAAAAAGAATCCCCATTCCAGCAGTAGATTTAACTGATCTCTGAGGTTCAGTATCATTTTTCAAATAAAGGAATTATATTATTTCCTCTGCATAATTGAAATAGTATTAAATGTCTCAAAGCACATGATTAGAAAATGAGATCTTTTAAATGAGCAAGAGATTGCATTGCAGCTCAGACAATTCCAGTGGGCTTTTTTTTTTCTTTTCAAAAAAAAGGAAAGAAAAGGAAAAGAGGAAGAAGCAGCTTATGCTGCATTCATTTATTTACTGACCTGTCCCTTACATTCTCCCCATGGCTTTGAAAGAACAGACAATGTTTGCTGGTGCTGGTCAGTGATTTTTACCATCACCACTGAGCCAGGGCTGCATTCCTTCCGGAGGGAAGCTGCTGGGGGGGGGGGGGAAGGGGAGGAAGAGCAGATGATTAAACCATCTTGTCATGCAGGTAGGAGACTGTGTATATAATCCTCACCCTTTGGAAAGGGAAAAAAATCCTTTCTTGCAAACAAGTCACCACATAAACATACCCCCATCTCCACCCTCCCAGCCAGTTACACAGGGAAGCAAATTCTTATGACTTTTGACTGTAATGACATCTGGAATGTAAGGAGAGGTGGGAGGTTTAATTCCAGAAAAATTACAAGGTCCTTAGAAAGCCCTCACATGGAGGGCTCAGGCTAGCGTAAACAGGCTTTCTCCAGTTCAGTGGAGCAGGGAGCAGCCGACTCTGAGATTAGCTGGCTTCTCCATGGCAGTCCTATAGAAGGGATTTCTAAAGCTCAAAGAATTCTGTGTTTAAATGATCACAATAGGCCGTTGCTATCAGATTTTAAAAATAAATGCAGCTTTACCATGAACCTGCTCCACTGAGAAAAGGCAGGCAGATCGATCTTTAGAGGAGATCAATTTTTACAGTGCTGACAATGGCGGTGTGGGATGTTCATGGGTGGAGAGGGTTTGCTACTGGGTAGACATGTGTGATTGTAGGGGCCACTCCCAGGGAAGCCAGAGTCACCCCAGCTGCCCATCTCCCCTGCCTCTCCAGCAAAATGTGTCCTCTGTTGATTGATTGGAGAAGACTGGAGGGAGACTTCCCCTGCTCCATGTTGCAAAAAGAGCTTGTTTTCCCAAGTCTTAAGAAATCCCCAGCTTCAAACGTGAAAGCCAGCCAGAGTATCACCCAGCTCCTGAATTGAACTCTGTTCTGGTGCCTGAGCTGAGGGGTTTTCGGAGAATGAATAAGAGACTGTCCGGTGGCTGGCTGGTGGGCCTCAGAAGGCCAGCTGCCTTCTCATCCCAGGAAATGGCCCTTCCCAAACCCACCAAGGCATATGAGCCGAACAGAGGGGCCACTCCAGCCCCTGGCCTTCTGTGCCCAGCTTTTCTGGACAAGGTTGTGCAGGTGAGGCTGAAGCATGTCCAGCTTCAAAGGTGTTCTGGGGTGAAAGTCATTAATGCAGACAAGAAAAGGTGCCTCAGGGTTGCTGTGGACAGATCTGTAAGGACTTGTAAAACAAAAGGTGAGGTGTTTTAAACCACTGAGCTACCTGCTTCCTCCTACCTCCTCCTCTGGCTTCTCTGTCTCACCCAAGGGCCTGTCTCACTTTGAATAGAGGCAAACAGAATCACAGGGAACCGAAATCCCCTGCCGGCAGGCTGGCATGTGGCTCTAGCACTTGAAAATGTGTTTTCCCCCCAAATAATGCGCTGGGGGGCAAATGCCTGCTTTGAGGTCTGTAATTTTGGAACAACGTAATATAGAACTTTGGTTCAGACAGTGGATGGTCTGCAAAATACTTTTGTTCTTTTACCACCAACTTAGGAAGCTGTTTGCAGGAGTCCTCCCCAGGCCCCGCCAGCCAGCAGAAGCCACTCCCCTCCTCTGATAACAGTCTCTGAATGTTCAGATTGGCTTTTCAGCTAAAGACACAGTGACATGGTGGATGTCACAAGCTTTCATCTTCACTTTGAGCTATGCTGAACCTTCCTGGGGGCTCATGGGGTAGATGAGAAAAGCCTGAAAAATGCAGACTTTGAAAGCTTCCATTTGTAAAAACAAAATACTTCTAAAGTCCCCTTTCCTCTCCGCAGTCCCACCCCCACCCCCTGTGGCCATGACCTGAAGATAGAATTTGAAGCTAGAACGGGATGCCAGGCTTGCCACCCCCTCCACCCCAGTGAGTCTGGGGGAGACTTGCTCTGTGCAGAGGGCATCTGAATGTGCAGGGAAGAGGGCTGGGGCCAGAGGGCAGACAGGCCTGGAACAGAGGCCCCGGGTGTGTGCTCAAACCAGTTGTGAGAAAAACTCCCTTCTCTCCTACTGACCTTCCCCATGCAGCTTCTCTGGCTGGATCCCCGCGCCCAGTGCAACACACCCTTTCCCCTTCACTCTCCCTTGGTTACTATGGAAACGAGGGTGTCATTGATGTGGGCTGAGCTGGGGAACATGTCTGTGCACAGCTGAAAGTCAGCGATTATGCCGGTGGGTAGAAATGTGCCAGGGTGAAAGAAGTCCGCAGCTCCCGAAGCTGCTGGAAGGACACAGTCCTGCCCTCTTCCTTCCTCTCTCTACTTCTCTCTCCTGGCTTTTGACAAATTTCTTTATTCCCCTCTGAGCTAAAGTAGTGGCTATTTTTGTGCCACTCTGTACCTCACTGTTGGCAGCTCCTTATCCGGGCCTGGCCTGGAGGGTGACACCATGTCACCCTCGCCAGGACTCGTCCCTTGATTCCCATCAGAGTTTGCTTTGATTTCTCTTTCCTTCTCAGGGGCCAATTCTTACCTCCTTTTATTTTTAGCTCTGCACTCCATGTGGTTTCAGGGTTCAGTCTGATCCATCAAAGTTTCTTTTTTTATAGTCCCTTTGAAAATGATAAAGAAATGGACGTGGTATTTGATCATGTGGAAAATTCAATGTATAATTTAGATGTCTGTCAAAAATCCAACAAATAAAATTTAGCTGAAATGAAGGCAGCCTGGAATGTGTTGTCTTCGCTGAGGCTCAGAAAGGGCCTGAAAGCAGTGTGTTATGTCGGAGGTTAGCATTTTTCAAGGTGTTTTATTTCAGAAGGATATATATTAATACTACCAATAGCAAAAAATAAAAATAACCCTTTAGTAAGCTCCTCCTACATACCTGACACTTTATATACATGGTGGGACAGCATTAGCCCTACTTCACAGCTGGGGAGACTGAGGCCCTTGCCTGGGATAAGGATTTTGCTCAAGATCACAGCCTTACCCTGGCCGGTTTGGCTCAGCAGTTAGAGCGTCAGCCTGCGGTCCAGAGAGGCCCGGGTTCAGTTCCCGCTAAGGGCCCGTACCTCGGTTGCAGTTTGTCCCCGGCCCTGGTTGGTCGTACAGGTGGCAGCCACTCGATGTGTCCCTTTCACATCGATGTTTCTCTCTCTCTCTCTTCCTCTCTCTCCCTCCCACTCTATCTGAACAAAAAAAATGGAAAAATGTCCTCGGGTGAGGATAAAAAAAAAGATCACAGAGCCTTGACCTGGCTGGTTTGGCCCAGTGGTTAAAGTGTCAGCCTGCGGTCCCGAGAGACCCAGGTTCAGTTCCTGCTAAAGGCACCTACCTCGGTTGTAGTTTGTCCCCGGCCCTGGTTGGGTCGTGTGGGAGGCAGCACTTGATGTGTCCTTTTCACGTCGATGTTTCTCTCTCTCCCTCCCGCCCACTCTATCTGAACAAAAAATGGAAAAATATCCTTGGGTGAGAATTAAAAAAAAACAACAATCACAGAGCCTTTAGTGCAGGAGAGGCCTGGAACCTGGGTCGGAATGCTATAGCCCGCTGCCACCTCTGGGGGATAAAGCCAGTACAGCTCACTTCCCAGTAGCCGGAGCCTCTAGCCTTCCACGACCACACCATGGGTCTCACCTTGAGTCTCCTCTGACCATCACTGCTCCACTGGGGGTTTCTGTCCCAGGTGTTGGGTGTCTTCTGTCCTCACAGCAGTATAACCCTATATTTTGTACCATCCTTTGCACAGATGGGGACAAGGGAGAAGATATTAGGAAAGTTAGGGCTGATGAGGGTACCCGCAATTACCTAGTACCTGATACTGGGTCTTCCTTTTAGAGAGGGTTCAGAGAGGAGGGGAGACCTGCCCAAAGTCACACAGTAGGTAGTAGAGTGGGCACCAGTCCAGGGTTCGGCCCTTCTGAAGAAGGGGAACTTACCTTCTTCAGTCTGGAGACACACCCTCACGGCTGGTCCCAAGGGCCCACCTTTATTTATTTATTTATTTACATTTTTTTCTTTATTGATTTTAGAGATAGAGAAGGGAAAGGGAGAGAGAGAGAGAAACATCAATGAGAGAGAACATCGATTGGCTGCCTCCCGCATGCCCTCCACTGAGGATCGGACCCACAACCACAACTTGGGCATGTGCCCCCACCAAACCTCGTGGTGCTCAACCACTGAGCCACACCAGCCAGGCCCAAGGCAAACTGTTGGCAAAGTAGAGGGGAACTTGAGGCAGGAGGAGAGAGAAGGTCTGGTGTTGCCAGATAAATGACAGGATATTCAGTTAAACTTAAATTTCAAATAAACAAGGAATCATTTTTAATATAAGTATAGCCCATGCAATATTTGGGACATACTTATAATACTTTTTTTTAAAAGTCTTTATCTGAAATTGAAATTCAAATTTTAACTAGCCATCCTAGATTTTGGTTTTTGTTGTTTTGCTAAATCTGGCAGATCTATCCAGAATGCCCAGCTCCAGGACGATGTCAAAGTGTGTTCTCTGGAGTTACAGAGACTCGGGGCTCAATCCTTGCTTATCTATAAATTGGCTCTGTGATCTTGGGTAAATTGGTTTCTCTCTTGGAGTCTTGTCTTTTACTCTGTGGAATGGGACTAAAGTGGTACGGAGATTGAAAAGAGATGAAATAAAACACCTAGACCTAGGCGACAGCTAGCATGTAGTAGGTACACTCTGTGCCTCGCTTCTTATCTGCAAAATGAGGTAATAGTCATCTACCTCATGGTATTCTCCGGAGAATTAGATGAATCTATGGCTGTCCAGTGTGTAATAGGTGCTAAATCATTGGTAGCTATTATAACTGGAAGAAATTCTGG